GTATCTTGACAGTGAAATTATATTGCGTATGAACTGAGATGGTAAGAAGTGTCCCATAAATTCTAGTTTGTAGTGGAATTCATATAGATTGCTCCGAAATTCACCTGAAAACAGTTGTTGATTTATGGATATTGAAGATAGTAGAAGCTTCAGGAAACAGCATTAAGATCATACAATTATAAACTACAACTCCAATCATCGTCGGAGCAATAAATATGAGTACCAGGAAAATCCCAAAGATGTCAACTCCACCAAATTCTAATGATCATTTAAACAGTTGAAATGGAATAATTTGAAGATTCCAAAATGATTCGATAGTTTCCCCAAGAAGAACAATGGGTTTTCGTCAAAACATCAGGATTCACTTGATATTCATAGACTGTGTCGTGCTTCAACTGTCAACATCATCGGCGTATTTTGGAGTAGATTGAAAGAATCGAATGATTTTTTCAATCAAAATATCCAAAGGTGTGAAGTGGAATGAAAAATCCAGGTCCTTATTTGAGGTAAATAAGTTGATGGAGGTTTCTGAAGGACGGAACGTTGATGGATTTCGAATTTGAAAACGCCAACTGGTAGCTAAGGAAATGTGGTCATGATCAAGTGTCATTTATTCCGATTCATTTCTCTAGAACGGTTTCAGGAAATTTAAGTTTTTTTTAGTATATCTCCGAAAGTATTTGGAATTTTCCAAGTTACAGATAGGCATTTATTATGCATAGAATTGTGCAACTCTGCCATGATTCAACCGACCCTGTATCTCTTACGAGAACTTAATGATGAGGCTCGAATTCCAGCCACCTTGTACATGAAATTTTGTATTCGAATAGTTCATTCTACTCTGCAATACGATAGTGGTTACAGAATTGGTACACCCTTTACATTTATTGTGGCAACAGTACACGAGTTGAGTGTTCTGGAAAACTTTAGAAAACCACCGAACCATCATCTCAATCCTTTGTGAATCCTTTCAAGCTCTAATTCACCCTTAGTTACACCCACTTCATAAGTTTATGTAATTCTTGTTGAAGTTTTCCTCGTAGTTGTATTCCAGGTTCATCAACTCTGGTAGTTCATTAAACTCTTAGACACTGATCAAGCAATGAAGTAGCTCTAACCAATCACTACATCGAAGCTGTCAACATCAAAGCTTATCACAATATTAAAGCTCATCACAACATTCAAGCTGATCCACAACATTGAAGCTTATGGCAACAATAATTAAGGTTGATCACAACATTAAGAATGATCACACCATTAACATTGATCACAACATCAAGATTGATCACGACTTTGAGATTAATCACAATATTAACCCTCCACTGGTATCGTGTTTTTCAGAAACGTTTGTGGTATCGTGGAGTTTTTCAACGCCCCATTTTATATTAGATGATAAATACAATATAAAACTCATGTGTTTTTGGGAAATTTTGCAATTTCGTCAGAATATCTGATCAAGATAACTATGAACTACAATAAATCATATTTCTATTTGAATCAACAGGAAGAAAATTATTTGGTATGAGTAATACAAGAGAGCAGGATGAAATCCATATTCTTTGGAGGCTGTAAAAATCAGTTGAAATTTTGTGTGAATAGTAGTCGCTATTACAGGCTTGTCTTTCAGACCACAATATTGATGCATGTGATGAGAAACACATATCGTTTCACACTAAAAAACTGACAGGGGTATATTTTGCACACCCCAATCACTCTTTATTTTCTCAAATGGTTGATTTTTGCAGAAAAAAATCACTACGATTTCCTAGATATCACGAACTTAGGAAAATACTTGAACAAATCACAAAATTGTTATTGTCGTTTTTATTATCGCAAAATTATCACTAGTAGGGAAGCGAAACACCCCACGATATAAGTTGAGGGTGAAAATTGATCACAACATTAAGACTGATCGCAACATTGAGATTGATCACAACATTGAGATTGATCACAGAATATTAAGATTCATCACAACATTAAGATTGATCACAACATTATTGTTGATCACAACATTAATGTTGATCACAACATTAATGTTGATCACAACATTGAGGTCTATGACAACATTAAGGTTGATCACAACATTGTGACATGAATGCTGCGTTCAACATTCGAGCTGATCACAATATTATGGCTGATCACAACATTATCGTACTTTCTGGCAGGGAGATGGAACGATGACCTGGAGATCCGTGCCTGGATCTAGACGTACCGAATCCGGTGAGGCTCTTCATGCCAGCAAAGAGGCGTCGCCTCATAGAAGACGTTTCGGACGTTACGTTGTTCGTCATCGATGCCGACGACCGATGTACGGACTCTCTGTGTTCTGAACACACAACATTAATGGTCCAAAATGGCCGAGTTAGACTTTCTGGTATCACAATATCGAGTTATATGTTCTCGAATAAGAATATTGGAGAAATCTGAATCACGGTGTTGAAGCACAACATTAAGAATGATCACAACAATAAGATTGATCACAACATCAAGATTGATAACAACATATTAAGATTGATGTTGATCACAACTTTAAGATTTGGCGTTGGATCACAACATTGAGATTGTGATTCTTTTCGAGATCCTGAAAACTCAACTATAAACTATTGTTATTTGGTCACACAATGATAGTTACATGTTTGCTTAAAGCTTGGTTGAATTCTTCAGTGAGTAGAAGGTTAGGAGAACGTTTTATACAGGGTATTGATGAATGGGTGCGAAAAAAATCAGGGAATACTCCTCATGCCAATATCAATCAAACTTCACTCTCATATCTTCAGTACCAAGTCGTTTTCTATGATATAATAAGGTTTATCTGACTGATAATTATGGTGAAAATTATTCTACGCCATTGTTTATTCATACCCTGTATAATTTGGAGATATATCAGGAAATATTGAGATAGGTACCTTCGTGAAGGTTCCACGTTGAATGAATGAAAGCATAGATTCTTCTGAAGGGATACATAATTCTCGACTGAAACTCCACTCTCATCAATTTCAAATACATCATTGCATAATTCCGCTATTGAAACTTCTCACAGCTGGTTTGCTCCCACACCACTTAAAACTCTTTCAAACCTTTATGCTCCCATTTGACTCAATTGCCGGAATTTCTGAGTTAATCCGGCCATTTCCAAGATTGATACGCTTTATAATGAAATGCTGCTCTCCTGAATAATTCAGCACTCCCCAGAATGAAAAAGGGACATTGATGAGGGTTCGGGGATCGGAAAATGAGCATTCGAGGTGTGTATGCAGAATCCCAAATAGGTCCAAAAACGGGCTCGGAATTCAGCAATGTCGGTTAACGAAAATAGAGCCTATAATCCAAGTCCAAAGATGAGATTTCAAGAAATTCTGAATTCCATCAGTAGAGGTTGCTTGTGGGCATGTTCTCAACCACCTAACTTTTATTAGAATTTCACTGCATGAGTCATGATTTTTCCGTGCTTATTCACGCATCTTTGATGATGTTTTTCACGCTTCACATGATTTCAAAACTGTTTTTTCACGCTTTGTGAAAGTTATGACTCAAGTTCATGATTACAACACAAACATGCACAAGAAACATAAACAACATGGAAAAGCGTGAAAAATATATCAAGGAGCATGAGAATATCGAAGCGAGCTTAAAAAAGCATATAACAACTCGAGGAAGCGTTCAAAATTTGATATGCATGCGTCAACAGCTTTGACAAAGCATGGAAAACGTGACTAGACTTGAAAAAACCTAACCAATGTGTGTTACAAGCATATGTATAAAATTAAAAGTAGAAAACAAGTTGAAAAAAATAGCTTCTATTCAAACGCTCCAAAAAGAAGAAGATTAGATTTTCCTTTTGAATTTTAACTATCAATTTATAAACTCATCATAACAACAATCACAAGGCAGAGACATATATCTGTCGTTCCCCCCCAAGCAAAATATACCATAAGACAATCTAGATTCAATGACCAATCACAAGCCAGAGATAACTTGTGTTATCGAGAAAAAATTAGCTGTCTTTCAATTCTGATTGGTCTATCAGCGTTATTGCTTTCAAAGATATAACCATAGAAAGCGGAGCAAAGTTCGTCAGTTTGGCATTAAATAATTATAGCTTTAGTTGAATCAAATGAACTTTCTCATTCCAAGATTGAACAGTAGACAATCAAACATGTTCTACAATGTTGCTACTAGAATAAGAATTATGCTGAAATCCCCAATTCATATTATGTGTGATAACTTCAACAAAATTCCCCATATATGTGATTTAAATCATGACTCAGAGATGTGATTGATAAATTGTAAATATATATGCACTAGTTATAGTTATTCATCTTGTTTTGGTCATTTTTCTGTTATGGTTAGTATACTGCATTTCTTAGATATAATCCACGTCTTTGTCTCATGTTATTCATATTATTCTGTGAAAAGTGTAATTAATAATATGAAGCTGATATTTATTTGTAGCATTTCCTGTTATTTGGTGTGAAACCTGTTTGAAATGAAAGCCTTTTTTTTGCAGAATGAATTGCTCATTTATGATAAATATGTGCTTCGTCAACGTGAAATAGTCCAGCAAAATATCACTCTGTTCTGAATATATTCTCATAATTGTATCTTTCATTGTTAACTCAAAATTTTCGTGAACAAGGAAGCGACAGAATAATCTTGAGTAATCAGAACATCGTGATTTCATTATTACTTATGAGAATATTCGTTTCCAATAAAATAGCGGTACAAAAACGAGGGAAATCTTGAAGAAGCATATGAACGCTCAAGAAATTTGAAAATACACGAAAAAATTATGTCTCATGCAGTGAAATTCCAGGAAACGCTCAGGAATACTTATGACAATTCATCCTCTATTATCGATCCCCAAAAAATCCTCCATTTCAGTCCAAATGAAAGACCCATCGCTGCCAACCATCCATCATAGCAGGAAAATAATTTCTACCCTACAGTGCCTAAATTCGTGCGATAATCCATCCTCAAAACCGTTCACAGAACCGACAAACCTGAACTTGTGGCACAAGGGGCCGAATCTACCACCGCCAAAGTGGGTCCGCCCACTCGAATGGGCGGCTGGGCGTGGGCGGGAGGTGGGCGTGGGCGGTTCAGGCTGTGCCCGGAGCTGCCGGAGCTTCCGGGGTTCGAACCCGCCGCGTCGCTGCTGGTGATTATCTCCACGCTGACGCGCGGTTTGTTCGAGATTTCGGTGGCTTGTTTGAGCACCTGGTAGATCTGGTCGACTTCTGGAAGCTCTGAGAAGGGGTCAGGGTGGAGGAATAGGATATGGGGTGTCTTGCACCACCGGTCGTAAAGTAGCACTTTACCACCTGGTTGTGCGGACGTAAAGTGGCACTTTACCACCTGGTTGTGCGGATGTAAAGTGGCACTTCACCACCTGGTTGTGCGATCGTAAAGTGGCACTTTATTGCCCAGAGACTAATTATTCGCCTGGCGTATAGGTGACTCGTAATAGACATTTCTGTACAATTTATATAGGATATTCATTTTCCAGTTGTGATGGTTCCTTATCTGAAATTAAATTTCTCTTCATAATTCTGATATGCAAAATATGTTACCTGTGATGACATTAATTGACGGCACATATCCACCCCTAATTCGAATAACTTCCATCGACGATGTTCTTTCTGCACCGTAGAAAAATCCATTTAGTGAAGCTATTCGTCAGGATAGAAATGCCCGACCAGTCCAATGAAGATCCCAAATCTTATTGAAATTAACTCAAAATAGTGCGCATAATATCTCGAATATTTTTCAAACTTCTGAGATATATTTTGTCGAAACAATTTGCTTTTCGAGATATCAGTGGCTTTTTTGAGCACCTGGTAGATCCAGTTGACTTCTGGAAGCTCTGAGAAGGGGTCAGGAAGAGTTATAGGAGGTGGAGATTTTCGCACGACTGGTCGTAAAGTGACACTTTACCACCTGACTATACGGACGTAAAGTAACACTTTACCGCCCGGTTGTGCGGACGTAAAGTGGAACTTTACCGCCTGCGGACTAATTTACAGCCCAGCGTGTATAGGTGACACGTAATAGGCAGTTGTGATGGTGATCTGAGCACATATAATAGTCCACCCTCAATTCTTGACAATTTTTCGAACTTCTGGGGCATTTTTTGTCAGTACAGTTTGCTGTTCGAGATGGCTGCTTGTTCGAGCACCTGGTAGATCAGGTAAAGATGTTTCTTTTCACAAAGTATTGTAAGTTATTCTCCGTAGTCTCCAAACAAGTGAATCTATTTTCAAAAACCTATCACTTGACTCCCATTCTTATTTGAAAGAAACACAATCACTCAGGGAGCTGGAGGTTTTACTATATGCTTTTTGCGTCGAAAATTGTCTTCCTAGTAAACAAAATTAATTTGTTTTTTGAATTTCGTTGGAAAGCTGTTTCCCATGTAGTCTGTACTGCCAGGTTCCACCCTGTATATCTCATTACTCATGGAGGCAAGTTCCGTAAACATTGAGGTTAGATTCTGAAGACATTGATGCCAAAAGGTGATGGCATGGCTTATGGCGAGCAGTGTACATCACGTGATCCTACAACTTGGTAAACCAGAATCGCACCACATTGATTGAGGATATAGTTGTTAAAATTGCACAGAGCTGGTGATTTGTTATTATGATTCGATTCACGATGATTGAATTTCAAGAACTGGTTCATATACATAAATAGATTTGTTTTATCACTACTAGATATGTTGTGAAATTAAAAGAGGTAATATGTTTATATGAGCCAGTTTTACGTATTAGTACTTTTGAATCTGTGGAAGGAATAATCCATGAAATACCTAGAACAACTGCATTGTTGGGAGGTGGATAAAGCCTATTGTTGTTTCTAATCGACAGCCTCCTATTTATTGTTGGCATTGAGTAAACTTCAGCTACCCCTAGACATAACAAAAAAACAAAAAAATACAACAACCAAATATATAAACTGACAATCCAAATTCTATCAGTATAATATTGATATGAGCTGACCTCATTGTAAATTAAATTATATAAATCCCCTATCACAAAGTCAATAATAGGGTTTGATGTGGTTGGGGAGAGTTTGATTACAATATACCATGTTCTATCTGAAAGACAGGGAATCCCTTAGGTATATCACATAAATAAACCCCGAACTTCTCCGGAAGAAAACCTTCACAGCAAGAGAACTTCCCTAATTGCCAAACTTGAATGGAAACCGAAGTTTCCTTTCGTAATATACAATGAGGTTTCCAGGGTAATTATACTCGATTTCCCAGATTCATCCTTGATGGTATTGCTTTACATGTCATAATAACGTGATCTTATACAGGTTGGGAATGAATTACCGTCAATCAAAATACAACACGTAAACCCGATGGACAATCAAGAAGCTCATTGAAGATTTTGTGAGGGAGGACTGAGAAGCATGTGACAAACAGTCGACGGATAGGGAAAGAATGGTCCGTAGCTGTATATTTGATTATCCATCGCTACACTAACTTTCGTCAAAGCGCATTGAAAATACTATATACTATAATCTGTCAATTTTTCACGAAATCAGTATGATGAAACCAGGTTTATCAATGATTATTAGTTGTAACATACTCTACATTGTAATCCAGTGAGGAGAGATGATAAAATGATGTGGAGAAAATGAATATCTTGAGGTTCATTTTGATTAGGAATCGAAGTGGGGCAAGCATACAAGACTATTGACAAAAAAATGTTATTATATATCATAATTATTGGAGATTGGAGGAATGATAAGATGGAAAATATTCAGAAGTGAAGGACCTAAAAGAATAGAGGAATATGAAGAAAACAATATTGGAAATAGATAGAGGAATAGGGAGGAATAAAGAAATTGAATGATAGAGAAATCGTAAAAATAGAAAAATTAATATATAGAAAGAAGTAAGGAAAAATTGGAATTGAGAAGTTGAGGAACTATTGGGAGTAGATAGGGGAATGAGGAAATGGGTGATTGAAATGAAATGCCATAGGAATTGAAGGAGTTAGGCAATGAAGGAATATATGTATATAAAAAATCATCAGATTGAAGAGATCAAACTGAAAATTGAAACAAGAAAACGAATACAAATGAAAATTAGGAAAATATGACGATTCAGATAATGGCGAACGAATTATGATTGAAAAAGTAACAAAGGACATTGAAGGAATCGAGAAGATCACAAAGAATCATGAAATTCGTATATATATACAGGGTGTCCCGAAATTAACCCGCCAAACTTCACCAGCGGCTTCTACGACCAAAAATATAAAGAAAAGTTTCAATGAACGTGAGTCGAGAAATATCTCTTGAAAGGAGACTCCTGAAGATGATATTTCTTGAAACTGTCCGAAACGTCACGTGTTGAAAGGATGACCAATGCGGTGAACATGAAGTCATTCCAAAGTTTCATTCAGGATGTACACTCCTGGATGAAACTTTTTTGTTTGCATATTTTTCGACAATTTAATCACGGATTATGAAATTTACACCGTTTCACAAAAAAGGGGCCCTTGTTCCGCATCGCTCAGATGTATCATTTTCGAGTGAAATCGATTTAAAAATATTGATTCTTTCATATCTGCCAATTTTCAAATCATAGTGGCTATAAAAAAATCAACAATTTTTTTCTCAACAAAAAATCTCACAAAAGCACAAGAAATAGAAAGATGATGAAAAACTACTTCGATTTCTGTGGATTATTTCTTCATTTCCTCATTGCAAGGAGTACCTCTTTTCTGTAGAGAGGTGTAGATTTTCATAATCCGAGCAATATTTAATATAAAACCCTGTATTATACACTCCTGAGTTGAATTTTTGATTGATTTTATTTTCACTGCATTGGGCATGGAAAGTTCAGAACTTGTACCAAATTGTATATCACATGGAGTTTCGGAAACACTCAAGAAATATCATCTTCAGGAGCCTCTTTTCAGGGAGCCGTAGCTACCACATAATACATCTTCCGTCTCATATTCATTGAAATTCTTCTTTTTATTTCAGAACGTTGAAGCCACTGGTGGAAATTTGCAAGATAATTTCGGGACACCCTGTATATATAGGCAACGAGAAACAAGATACAGATGGAGAGAGAATAAGGGAAAGAAGGTGAAGCTGAATTTGTTTGATTTCAAAATTGAAATCGATCATCATCGTACACTTTCATTGAACAAAGAACATAATGATATTATTCATAATAAGCACAAAAGGGCATATCCCACATAAAATCACTCACTTTCATCGTCCGGATTAGGTTCTGGTACTCTCGAATCGATTTCTGAGGTCGATTTTTGTCTTCTCAGCAACTTGGCCTTAGTTTGACACTTGGAAGCCTTGTCTTGACAGTCGACATGTACGTTCATTTTGCAAATCCTACATTTCAGTCCCTGTCGCGTATGTCCTGCGGAAAACAATCTCAACTCACGAAAACAACAGTTTCACATGGTTTTAAATAAAAAGTTCACATTAGTTTTTGGATGTACAGTGTCTTTCAAAAGTATCGGAACGGTCTCATATTTCAGGAACGGCTTGAGAAAAATTCACGAAATTTTCAACAGGGTGATTATTGATGATGTCCGATTCAATGGTGGCATCGGCAATGTTGCCAAAATTACAGTTTTTCAGATATTAGGAGTAACTTTATTTTTTCAAATGGAATACCCCATTTATTTTTATTGCAATTAATTAAGCACCTCCTAATTACTTGAGTTCCTGAATATCAGATTCGTAATTAACGTGATTTTCGAAATATGACAACATAGCATTTTCGTCAAAAAGTTCTGGAACGGTCCCATATTTCAGAAACGGCCCAGAGAAAATTCATGAAAATTTCGACAGGATGGTTGTTGATGATGCCCGATTCAATGGTGATATCGGCAATGTTGCCAAATCAACAGTTTCTCAGATATTTAGGGTAACTCAATTTTTTCAAATGGAATACCCTATTTGTTTTTATTCCAATACATTCAGTGACGCCTCATTACTTATGTCTCCAAATATCAGATTTTGAATTGAAGTGGTTTTCGAAATATGACATGGCATTTTCGTTCAAAAGTCTGGGAACCTTCTAATATTTTCAATACGGTTCAAGGAAAATTCATGAAATTTTATACAAGATGGTTTCTGATGATGCCCGATTCAATGGTGATATCGGCAATGTTGCCAAATCAACAGTTTTTCAGATATTGAGGGTAATATTAGAAGGTTCCCAGACTTTTGAACGAAAATGCCATGTTGTCATATTTCGAAAACCACTCCAATTTAGAATCTGATATTTGGAGACATAAGTAATGAGGCGTCGCTGAATGTATTGCAATGAAAACAAATAGGGTATTCCATTTGAAAAAAATGAGTTACCCTAAATATCTGGAGAACTGTTGATTTGGCAACATTGCCGATATCACCATTGAATCGGGAATCATCAACAACCATCCTGTCGAAATTTTCATAAATTTTCTCTGAGCCGTTTCTGAAATATGGAACCGTTCCAGAACTTTTTAACGAAAATGCTATGTTGTCATATTTCGAAAATCACGTTAATTACGAATCTGATATTCAGGGACTCAAGTAATTAGGAGGCGCTTAATTAATTGCAATAAAAATGAATGGGGTATTCCATTTGAAAAAATAAAGTTACTCCTAATATGTGAAAAACTGTGAACTTGGCAAAATTGCCGATGCCACCATTGAATCGGACATCATCAATAATCACCCTGTAGAAAATTTCGTGAATTTTCCTCAAGCCGTTCCTGAAATATGAGACCGTTCCGATACTTTTGAAAGACACTGTATAATAAATTGATATTCGTCATACAGGACGTGGAAAGAAATTCTGAATTGAGAAAACGTAATCACGAATCTGCGATTGAGGTCTATAAAAAAAACAAGTTTCCATCGTTCAAGTTTGAACTCCTTGATTGGGTGAAAGTATTGAGGAGGAATATTCTCAGATATAATAATGAACATAAAAATATTGATATATACATAATATATACAGTGTGACCCACTTCTGATGGAAACACCTCTGTATCTTACGTAATCGTCGAGTAGGTATCCTGAAATTGGCTGGAGCGAGAGATATACCAAAAATGCACTCTATGATCAAGTGGGGTCATCTTCAGTGATATACACTGCTCGCCTACAGCCATGGAACCAACTCAATTTCCCATTTCCCAATTTCAATGTTTCATGCTCTCTTTTTGAATGTTCAACAGATATAATCCGATAGTCGACGTGGCAAATAGCCAGGAAAGTAGTTGTTTTCTGTTGAATATTCGTAAAGATATTATGTGCATGTCTTTCATGAAGGAGAATGCAATATCTCTACTTCAGGAGATTTTGTTTTCAAATTCTTATGGTGTGTGTTCAATAGATGTAATTCAATGTTTGTCGTGGCATATAGCCAGGAAAGTAGTTGTTTTCTGTTGAATAAATCGAGTAAGAATTGATATTTTCATGACATAGAGAATGCGAATTCTCAATGTCTTTCTCCATATATATGTATATATCCATTTTTTCATGTTTACAATTGTATCTGAGAATTTTCCTTTTTGAATTGTCCCTGATTATCAAGAACTCTGAAAAAGAAATTCAATCGATAGTCAATTACACTTTGTTTGAAAATTGTTAGGTCAATATTTTTTGCGATTCAGGAAACAATTTCAACATGGAAATAATAAATACTATTAGAATTGACTAATTTCAAGTAGAAGTGTGCAATTTCCACGCAAATGAAAGTTTTCGTTCTCACCTCTAAGAATCTGGGAGCATACGTCGCAGGGGGTAATTTTCTTGTAGGTGTTTTCGTGGAAATTGTGAGCATCTGGATCGCCTTTGAGCAATTCTCTGTTCGCTGCAGCGCCGTTTTTCCTACACAAGAAAACAGACAAATGACAAATCAAATTTTTTTCTTGGTGGCTATCCAAGCAAAGTGGTTATTTTCTGTTGAATATACCAGAAAACAATAAATATTTTCATTGCATATAGAGAATGCGAATTCGTATTTCTTTATACAGGGTGGGTCACGGTGGATGGCCTATTAGAAGTATCTGGAGAACAAAAAGACAGAACATTCTGAAAATTGGGATGTTTTGATAATTGAACATTCTCTATTCGTCCAAAATGTTTTCATCGATACAGTGTTGCCACTTCTATCAGAAACAACTAGCAACTTTGTTATGTCAAATAGAACACCCTGTATTTTATTGCATTTTTAGATTCTTCCTGAGGAGCTGATTTCATCGATGTATCACACATGGGTCTAGCAGAAATGATTACAGAGATATAGGGTATTCAAAATCTAGATTTTTCAATTTCAGGATTTTTTTGTGTCGAAACTATTCATCATTGATCAAAACGACTCCCATGTCCCTATCTCAACTTTTGATTCACTATCTACTGGAATTTGATTGAAAAAAATAAAGGGTGCTTCAAGATTCAGAATTCTGATCACCCTGTATCCGTTCCAATTGAATGTCAGTAGACATGTGAACCGTTTTGATCGATAATGAATAGTTTCGACACAAAAAAATCCCAAAATTGAAAAATCTCGATTTTGAACACCCTATATCTCTGTAATCATTCCTGCTAGACCCCAAGTGTGATGCATTGATAAAATGAGCTCTCTAGGAAGAATCTAAAAATGCAATGAAATACAGGGTGCACCATTTAAAATAACGAAGTTGCTAGTTGTTTCTGATAGAAGTGGCAACACCGTATCGATGAAAACATTTTAGACGGATAGAGAATGTTCAATCATCGGAGAATTCAAATTTTCAGGATGTTCTGTCTTTTCGTTCTCCAGATACTTCTAATAAGCCATCCACCGTGACCCACCCTGTATAATATAGATATCCATTTTTTCATGTTTATAGTACATATATCTGAGAATTATTTTCCAATAGTATATTGTTCCATGATTATTGATTCGTGGCATCTTGTTTTCTAAACTCAAATGATGAACCAATGGCATCAACTTTGCTTCTTGAAATAGGAAGTTAGTATTTGTCAAAAGGCTTCAAATGAAGCTTCAATGTTAGATTTCATTATAAAAATATCATCATACATGAAATGACATTGCAGAAAAAATATTGGAAAACGAATTCCATAATTTCAACAAAATTTTGACGTTCGATGGGGAATTTTTTTCTCAAACAACCCCACCTATAGACAAAAACACAAAATGAATTGGATGTATGCAGACACAATTTCTCAAGGTAGTGCTATACATTAGGCTGTCCTAACTTCAAATTATACACCCTAATAAACTGTGGGGATGAAAAAATTCTAGTTAGTTAGTGCATATGTTTGTAAGTTACAGTTAGCTATTCCTTTATTCAAAGAAAAGGCTTCCATAATTGTTGGGGTATTTAGTTCAAGTTAAGACACCCTGTGTATCTGAAGAACATAGTATATAGGCTGGTGTACAGTGTCTATATCTAGCATAGGTGCACAAGGTGAGGAATATTGAAAAGTGATGTATCTGACATAAACATAGCGAATAAGATGAAATGATTTCGTATAAGTTCTAGTAACCACTTTGAAATTGATGATACAATGATTCATTGCAAGGTATGACAGATGATATACTCAATTATTGATAGAGGAAACTCTAGAGGTATTTGAACCAACAAAAATATTGACTGTGGATATCTGTTTGAAAATCCATATATGATTTTGAGTAGTATATACAGTCGTTAATCTATGTATATACTATACCGAGCACAATCCTGCTACTGACAAAAATCATTCTAACTCGATTGGCCATTGGATAACGAAACAATCTCAACGAAAATTGGGGTGGAATCGAATAGAGGTGAAAGTAGCTCAGGGCTTACGGAAAGCCCTTTATAGAGAAGGTTATTAGGTGTGTGGACAAAGAAAATCGCATAATAGTTCGTCCCTGCTTTTTCTGAACAGTTGATCGGAGAAGACGCCATAAAAACAATGAAACGCTTTACTCCAATTCACTGAAACTTGATTTGATCCGAGAAACTCCTCTCTATGGTAACTATGCCTCCAATCATACAGGGTGAGTCATGATGAACTGTACATACTCCAACCACGAATAGAGGTCCCTGAGGGGAATACCTGATGTTATCAGAAAGTGTCTATCTCTCTTCTTCACCAATATATAGTGTGAATTATATGATTTGGCAAAAACATCTTCTGCTCATAACTCTCCAACAGCTTCTTGGATTCGTCTAATTTTTTCATGAAATATTGCGGTACTATTCTCTTATCGATTGATTCATTCAGAATCGGAAAAATCCAGAACCGTTCTTAACAAATTTCGATAGTTTCGTTTATAGCAAAAAGTTTATCCTGTATATCGTTTTTGTAAACTGTGACAGGACATTTTCGAAGGCCATGAACGAACATTAAAAATGGAATATTGAAAATTTTCCTCACATTTCTACTGCATTTTGAATAAAACAACAAATTTTATGAAAAAACGAAAGTTTAGTAAAAAATGTATTTATTTGGAAATTGATACTTCTCACTCACATTTTCAATGCTTCAGCTCAATGGAAATCAACATATTATTTTATTTTCAGACCTAGTAATTTACTTTTTTTGAGGAGGATAATAATCACCCTGTAGATATTTTTCGAATCAGTGGATGAAGTATCTGTAAAGATGTTAACGGTCATAGCTATAAATAATTCTATGGTTCTAATCCATAGTATCATCTATTTGATTTGTTTAATTCATTTAATTTGGTCACTCATTTTATGTTTATCTTGGATTATTTGAATCGATGACCATCAACATCTAAACAGATACCCCATTCTCTGATTCGAAAAAAATCTACAGGGTGTTTATTTCCCACCACAAAAAATGTAATGACAAAATCCAGGCCTGGAAATGAAAGAACATGATGATTCACATTGACCCAAAGCATTGAAAATGTGAGTCCCACTACTATTTCTGTAATTTATGCTTTGTGAAGAAAAATTTTCGAACTTTCGTTTCTGCTTGTAATTTATCGTTTTTGTAAAATTCTGTGAAAGTGTGTGGAGACTTTTTTATATTTTATTTTTAGTGCTTGTTTGTAAGGTTTGAAAATTGCCTGTAATAGTTTACAAAAACACCCTATATTTTATTTCATTTTTGAATTCTTCCTGAAGATCTGATTTCAACGACGTATCATACTTAGGGTCTAGCAGTGAAAGTTACTGACATATAGGGTGTGCAATCTCAACTTTTCACTCACTACCAATTGGTGTTCAATTAAAATTTAATTGAAACAAATTATAAAATTAGATTTTTTGACCACCTTGTATCAATTTCAATTGAACACCAATTGATAGTGAGTGAAAAGTCGGGATAGGGACATGTAAACCGTTTTGACGAATAATGAACAGTTTCGACAGAAAAAAATCCTGAACTTGGAAAATCTCGATTTTGCACACCCTATATGTCAGTAACTTTCACTGCTAGACCCTAAGTATGATGGGTCGTTGAAATCAGATCTTCAGGGAGAATTCGAAAATGAAATGAAATATAGGGTGTTCCAATGAAAAAAACATAGCTTTGATGTGCTGTGACCTTACGGAACACCCTGTGTATTCCAAAGAAATTTTGAAATGTGAAGCTCGGTTATTACTTCAATTTTGATACAGGACTTTTTTTCGTATCTCTCAAGACCACAGAGAAATCGAACTCTGGAGTCTTAGTTGGCCACCCTGTACAGCTCCTCATGACTCACCCTGTATATCGATTAGTTTTTGGCACTGTCGAAAGTGAATTTGGATCATGGCTTTTATGTCATGTGTTGTAAATGATTGTGTGCTCGTCATGCAAAATAAATATTTTGTTTTCAACTCGAGAAAATAAAACGAATAAAACAGAACTGTGTTTTGTGTTCCGGACGAAACTTATATTCATCAACAAAAGCTAGCTATCAATGCCTGTGATATTTTTGCTCATAATTGAAGGAGCACATTGAAATCTCCCTTTGTGCCCTTTTATCTAACACCCTTAACAATGGGGGCACACAACAAAAGAGTTGCTTGGATATGCATTTTCTGTATGAAAAGAAAAATTCATATTTTCGCTTTGGTCTTGACAATATCACAGGAATGTCACTTGGAAAATAATGAAGAACGAAGTAATATTCGAGTTTCAAGAATGAACATATGAGCTCATGGAAATCTAAAAATATATGAAGGGAGAATGAATACACAATGGATGTGTGATTTTTGAAGGTGGGAAATTCAGATATTGAAACACACTCATCCAGATGATGATTAAATCAAATTCTATAACTTAGCTGTAGAATGAACAATCAATGTATTTTCTTTAATTTCACACCTCCAGAACAACTAGTAGGTATGGTGCAAAAAGCAAACAAGACATATTACATTAAGAACATTGAGAGTAGCCCAAGTTTGAGGAAGAGGATAACGATCAATATTTACAATAGGAAGCAAATTGCAATGTACAGGGTGTCCGGAAATTATGCGCAAAAAATAAAGGGGGTGATTCTACATGATAAAATAAGATTCATTTCATATATACGTGGGTCCGGACATGCATAGTTTTCAACATACAGTGTGTTGAAACTTTTGAAAAAAATCGTTTTTTATGAATATCTCAAATATCCTTCCACCGATTTCCTTGGGATTTGGCAATGATATTGTTTGTCATGAGGGGCTGATGATTGCATAATTCAATAGGAAATATAAAATCCAGTGCTGTCCTGGGAGACAACCTACCGAATATCATTTTCAATAAAATGTGCAATACTGATTTTTTTGAATTTTGTATCTCAATACCAGTTTGACCAACTGAAAATACAACATATACACTCTGTATATTGGGAAATATGTATTCCAGGAAGGCGTAATTTTCGATCATACGAAGCGTGTCAAATTCAATTTCATCCCTGTTTTTGAAGCAATGTTTTGCACACATTTATACAATGTATTGGTATTCATTTTTTTCCACGGAAACGCAAAATATTGGATTTTCAGTTAATCATTAGGATATGAAGATAATTATGGAATAAAAAAAAATCAGTGTCGCACATTTTATTGACAATAATATTCGGGTGCTCCTCGGATGTCACGTGATTTCACAATTCCAATCTAATTATCGCTAAATCAGCCCCTCATGACAAGGAATATCATTGCCAAATTTGAAAAAAACAACGGTGAAAAGATATTCGAGATTTCTTCCAAAAAGTTTAACGCACTGTATCTTGAAAACTATGCATTTCCGGACCCACATAATATATGGAATAAATTCCATGTTTTCTCATGCAAAATCGACCCCTTGATTTTTTGCGCATAATTTCCGGACACCCTGTATACAGAAAGTGAATCTAACAGACACAAGATGGTATAGCTAGATGGTTACCTCATGGACATGATTGTCGATACTGCATGGTACATTTGGTTTTTTCTGTGTTTGGAAATATAAGAAAAACATCAATAATCTATTAAAAAACTACTTGAAGGAAGCAAAGATGCATTGGTGACCTGTCAATGATTTTCATGGGGCTTATCTTGATTTGGAGAAAATCAATCAAACATTGTTTTGATTTTTTAGTCCCTATCAAAATAGATTTCATACGTATCTACTTATAAACACCTGATATATACAGAGTGTATCCAAATAACACAGAAACAATTCGAGAGGTGATTATGTGATGAAAATCAAAGTGGGTATTTGATATGAAATTCTTGAAGAATCTCTCACCAAAAAAGTTATTAAGTCAAAAACACGAAACTTGGTGAATACTATTCGTCAATAAACGTGAACATTCTGGAATGTTTCAAATCCTAAAGTATACCTTCAATCAGAAGAGGTGTTGATAGTCAAACCCAAAGATATCTTTCTAACGACTTCTTTTTATACAAAATCTTTCTTTTCAATAAACATGTTTTCCTCCGATTGGCAGCAAATATTAATTTTGCTGACACATATCGATCAGCAAAGTATTACTTTTCCTGCCTAGGCAGCAAAGTGGGTACTTTGCTGATTGATATGTATCAGCAAAATTGAAAATCCATAAATCGTTTATAATTTCCTTCATATTCCATCCGAGACTTCTCCGACAACAAATTCAACTCTATATTTTTTGCCACCTCCCTTATTAATGGAGGTGTAAGTATACTTCCAGGTCGCTATTACTGTCCATTATATAATAATTTAAATATACCGATATTTTTTCGCACAACTGTCAGAAATTTCATGAATTGTCAAACCAACAACTGCGATTTCTATCAAATTTTATTTTAATTGAACACTATACAGGAAGAATAAAGAGATTGTGGGAATTGTATTAATTCGCAAATACAATATTCTCCCATATCATTATGAACAATCGGAGAAAAAATTATATGTTCAACTCGGCAGCAAAGTAGATTGACTGCCTTAGCTGGATTCCTAGCCTCGCTACGCTCGGCTATGAATTCAGCCACGGCAGTCAATCTACTATTTTGCTGCCTAGTTAAACAAATAACTATTGAGAAGCACAAATCATATGCAATTTTTTCATCCTTACATTTTGTATACAGTTTTTCGTGTCTTGAGCTTAATACACAGAAAACATAAAGAAGAAACAAAAATTCTTCAATCCTCTGAGGTTCTTTCTGAGAATTTGTACTATATACCCACCTTATCTTTCATCACACAATAACCTCTCGAATTTTTTCGATATTATTCAGAAAGCGAAAACTTCTAACTATGGATGATAAGGATTTATCAACATTATCAATTTGCAATAATTGAGTACGCCCATCAGTATAGTTGGGGATACAGCGACACTTTTTTTGACACATTTTATGAAGAATAATTTTATTATTTTCGTGTCATATCAACGCCTTCTAGACATAAAATCCATTCCTGCTGACGCACTATCGGGACAACAATTATCAGCAACTTATCTATGTTGTTTAAAAACATTTCACCAATCGTTTATTGACATATAATAATAAACGCCTCTTATTGTCATAAGTGATATACATAAAAAAACCTTACATAGACTGTTGGCCCAAAAAAGCTGAATGACTTCAGCAAATTGACTGAGACAGCAAGGAAGGTGGAACAACAAAAAAATGAGAAAAATAAAATAATGAAATGCAATACATAATGGATACTTACTAATTAGTTGCTAGCAATACAAATAGTAGAATTTCGAGTGATAAAAAAAATCTACGACATGAAGGATGTACTGAATAATATTATATCAAGACTGCGAAAAAAATCATCTTATGTTCATGAATGCGCTGATTAAACGTACGGCCTGTCTGACCGATATATACCTTAGAACAAGATCCACAGTTGGGTTTGTTCATCCCTGATATTTCAAATTCAAAAGTTTTGTCATTTGACCAGTATATCACCTGAAGAAGCTACTGTGTCAGCGAAACATGTATCGTGTGTTTTAGAATTTTGTGGAAGATTTTACATTTGCCATAACTTGAAGAAGCACCGAAATTAATTCTTTTAAATGAGAAAGAAGTGGGATAATTGATTTTGTCAATCATTGGACTATCAAAATAGGGCCAGTTGGATACTCAAAAATAGTTAAATCAACTTTCATCAAAGAGAATGCGAAATAGCGATCGCCCTGTAGATTGATCAAATTGGTATAACGTGTTTCTCATGCACATTCACGATAATGAATTGTCCTACGTATTTCAGAGAAGTATCATTCAAGGATTTTTAATATTCAAGAGAATATGGAAATAAAATTATTTGAATTCGATCGGTCTGTAGTTCACCCTGTAGAATTTATGGTACGTTGTTCTGGGACACTTTTTCATCACATCATTAGGTCCATGGCATGGTCCATGACATTGTTCTACGAGACAGGTAACAGGAAGTGATTTTTTTTCCTACTGATATGCCATTTAACGATTGGTAAAGTTTCATCTTTCATCATGTTTGTTATCAACTCAACATTGATAAGCTGCTGATAAGGGCTGTTTCGCGATTGAGGTGGCAGGAATGGATTTTGTTGATGAGCTTCATTATTACGAATTATAATAGTTAAAAGAATGAACCAAGCTTCATGAAATTGAACATTGAATAATGTCGCTGGCTTCCAGGCAGTTCAAGGTATCTTTGCTCAAGCAAAATTGTCAAAAAACTAACAAACACACTGAAATCGAAATGCTGTATATTCCAAAAACTGCCATAATCAATATCGAACGAGAATCTAACGATGCTAACAATACTTACTTTTCAGGTTCTGGTGGTGGGGTTTTCAAGCTTTTGAAAGCTTTCAACCACTTATTCTTCATACTCCCAGTCGAAACGGAAGATAATTTTCGTTCGCGAGGGACAGTATCGCCTTCTAATTTATGCGCAAAAAGTTCTTTCTGTAACAAAAAACACGAGTCAAAATATCGGAATCCCATCATATAGTATGCACAGGGTGTTTCACTATAAATTCTACTATACTCATACTCTATACTTCATGAAGATATTGGAAGTTAGTGGTAATTCGCAATTTTGGTAAAAGTGCACTTATCATGCGATGGGGTTTTTTTCGAAATTTTTTTTTGATACTTACGTATTTTCGTCTGAAAAACACGAATTTCATATTGAAAATGAGAACAAACCACTATTCATCGAGATATTTCAAGAAAAAGTTCGAAATTCTGCCTTCTTTTCCCCCTTGTGTTGGATGCATTTACAGGTACTTGCTCTTATTATTTTGTCATTAGACACTTTATATACTCATGATGTACTTCACTGACACATTTTGAGATAGACAATTCAACAGGAAATATGATTCTTATGGCGAGTTTTTCCTATTTAGTGAGCAAGCATACCAGATGACGGCCATTCAATCCATATGCAATCCAAATACGAGATGTCAAATGTCAATAGATTGCTTTGGAATGACATTACACCATACGGATCATAACGGGTGCCAGGATGAAGCCAAAAATATGAAACAAATGAATATCCATAAGGATTTGTGGCATGATACGCATGCGCCATGCGCTATTATAGTAGTCATCAAAGACATGCGTTTCGGTGGACAATGACGTTTACTAGCCTTTCAATCAAAGCAGTATGTGTCTGATCGTTTCAAAACTTTTCCTTATGGATAGTCATTTGTCTTCAAAAATCGGCTTCATGTTTCGCTATGGAATCAGATAGAGATTATCCGTATTGATTATTAATACGTATATGCATTACACACGCCATTATTTCAAATGATATCCTTCCTCCTTTTCACTAAACATGGATAAATCACAAGAAAATCATATTTCTAGTTGACTCATATAAAAAAAAATGTGTCCAACATTGTGTGATATAAAGATAAAAGAAGGGCAAATTGTTCTAAATGTGAAGACAGGCGGAAAAGATGGTGAAATTTGTAACATTATAGTGAAATATCTTGATAAATAATGGTTTGTTCACATTTTCATTATGAAATTCGTGTTTTTCAGACGAAAGTACGTAAGTACCAAAAAAAATTTTCGAAAAAAACCCCATCGCATGATAAGTGCACTTTTACCGCAATTTTTTGAAATCGAATCACAGAATTAGACTGACAGAAGTGAAATCAGATATTTGATTACTTCAAAAGAATGATACAAATGTCTACAACGCAGGTGTCCCTACTGTTGAAAACTTGAAATTTCATGCCGAAAATTTTCAGATTCTGAAATAATGTACTATCTTCTCAATGATGATTCGTCCTTTCTTCGGTCACAGAAAAAAATAGTGTATCATACAAGGGAGAAATATTAGATTTCAGCTCACGGTTTTTTGTCTCACAACACAACCTGGAGCTAAGATCTACAACTTTTTTCCCTTGTATAATAAATAACTGTTGCTTGTTGGGATAATGACCTGTGAATTTTCTTATCTTTCTTCTTCTTTGCTCACTTGGAAACTCACAATGGGGTTCTAATTAACTTTGATACTATGGCAATGTCTATGGCATGTCTGATGAACATAAACGATACTCTACTCGCCAAGTTTCATCACGTATTTTTCTATCTAAATGACTATCAGAATTTTCGATCAACAAAGAATAATAGCAGTCATATTATCGTAAATTCATTGTTGCTCCCGCTTTGGCTCTTCTCTATGATAATCTCTAGAATATATGTATACACACTCTAGTATTAATTACAAAACAATTTGCCACGTGTCTTGTTTCGTCGTAATGTTATTGAAGTGCAAATAACTTGGAAACCTATATAAAAAAAGAAAGAAAATATCGTGGGTCTTTGGAAAGTGCAATATTAGGCTCAACACACTACAAAAAATAATCCTTCTACCCCGTTAAATGTTGCATCGACCTTTGGATAACTCTGAATGGATACGATAAAATTCAATAATTGGTGGATTCATAAAAGCTCCTTCACCAATTTTTGAAAAATTGGCGAAGAAGTATTTAAATATCTGCACCAATATTAGATAGAAATCATTTAGATAAGCTTAGACCAAATAATTTCGATACACACATCTGACTGTGTCACCCCATCATTCGAATTCTGGAAATAATAGTCACTGCATTGAAATTGCAGTGTATGTGATTTTTTTAAAGTAAAGGCGAGAGCGCATTTAATATCCACCAATTAATCGAATTTACTGTTGCAGAAAATTATTCAGGAAGACATACAATAGGCTGAAGATATGCTCATTGAGATGGAATGATGATGCTCTCGAGTCTTGAGTAGATCATGTTTATTACTGCTCCCTATCAAATGCGGATTCTCAACAAAATGGCGGCAACGATGTGAAAAATTCACCAATATTGGGGAAATAATACAAGGATATAATCATCAATAGCATAGGAGAGAATTGAATAGAAAACAGTCATTGATTAGTGTGAATTGAAAACACGTCCTCAAATTGTCTGAATCCTCCGTACTACACATACAGGGTGCAAACTAGGTAGAGACTATTGAACATAGCCTTTATAAAGAGTAAACCGCAGATACGTGTTTCGAGCTTTCGGCCCTCATCAGTATCCTGTGGTGATGTTAGTTCCAGCCCTGGAAATGCAGGGACTTCTGACCGAAACCACAAGTGTGCAGCTGGCTTCTGTTTGTTGTTTTCGTCGATTTGTTGTTTCATCTTCCACCAAGTGTTGCCAATCTTTTGCACTTTCTAAACATACTGATGGTAACCAAAAGCTCGAGACACGTGTATGCGGTCAACTCTTCATTTATTTATTCATTTAATTATTCAATGTTACACTGTTCTACAGGTTAAAGCCAACTACAGAACAGGGAAATGAGTATAACTGATGATACAGTTTCAAATATTCTGAGAAGTATATAAATATAGGCAAGACTTCAGCTGAAATAACAAAAATCAATCGCAGAGATGGAGCAATGAAAGATATCTGGCTGATTATTTGATGAATTATTGTATAAAGGACACATGTTATGGAGAGGAGAATATTTCAAAATATTTGTTCGTGGTGTAGGAAGATAGAATGTATTGAAAACTCTAGAAGTTTGTGTAGACACAGTGAAACTCAGCTTTCGCAAAATGTATGGAGTCAGTGATAATGTTAGATTTGGAATGGGGTCTTCGGGCTATCTGCCTTCACACTGCGACCTTTTCAGATCTATTGTGTCTGCCCTCAAAATCGATTAGAGTTCTTCGGCCAGCCCCGCCTTCTCTATGAGACTACATAGGCTTGCTTCCAGATCTCCTGTGTATCTCTGGGCTCCTGGTTTTTCCTCGCCCAGCGTAAGGAACCTTAGTCTTGACAAGCCCTCACAAAGTATGTGTACTGCTGTTTCTTCCTCTTCTTGACAGAACCTGCACAGCAGTTCTTCAGTCAGGCCTATCGTACTCATGTGTTTGTTGAGCCTACAATGCCCTGTGAGAAGTCCCACTAGTATTCTAGTTGAACTTCGTTTCTGGCTTAGTAGATATTCTGTGAATGTTGGCGATGGTTTTTTAATAAACTCTTCAGCCTGTCTCATTCCTGGCGAGTTGTTCCACCATTCTTGAGATTTGGTTTGCATCCATGATTTGATACTAGTCTTTTGTATAGCTTTCGCAATACCACAGAAGGGTTCTGGGCCATTGAGAGCTTTGTTTGCTCCTGCTCGGGCAAGTGAGTCTGCCTCTTCATTGCCCTCGTACCTTGTATGTGCTGGTACCCATGCTAGAGTCAATCTGTTCTGACTGCCCAGTGCATTTAGGGTTTCTAAGCAGTCCCATACTAGTTTTGAGCTAACTTGCATAGAGTTGACTGCTTTGATTGCAGCCTGGCTATCTGAATAGATTGCAATGGTTTTGCCTTTGAACTCCCGCCTTATCAATTCTTCCACGCAATGATGTATTGCAATAATTTCTGCCTGAAACACCGTCGCGTATTAGCCTAAGCTCAGTGCGATTCTTGTCTTTGGCTTGGGTCCTTAAATACCAGCTCCTGATCCTTCATCAGTTTTGGAGCCGTCCGTATAGACAGCAATGTCTGCATTGATAGGAGGTCCTTCCTTTCATGCCTCTCTGTCCGTTATACTTATTTATTGATATAGTGATAATATTATTCACCACTTTGAAAAGGAACACTGTGGATTGACAATCACGACGGAAACTAAGGCTTTACATAGCATGTCTAGCTAATAATGTATCATGAGGAAACCCGATTGGTGGATATACATTATCAGATCTATAGGAAAGAAGTTATTGGGGCTATGTCCAATGATCTCTTTTCAGTTTGCTTAAAACAGTGCCCCCAATATTCCTTCCATCATACAGGGTGCTCTAGGTTGGAATCAGGAGAATTCAAAAGGCGATAAAAATGCAAAAAAATGTTCACGTTTTTGAAGTAAAACCGTTGATTGTTGCATCGACCTTGGGATAACTCTGAATTGATACGATAATATTCAATAATTGGTGGATTCATAAAGCTCCTTCGCCAAATTTTGAAAAATTAGCGGTGCTGTATTTGAATATCTGCACCAATATTGAATCAAAGTTAGAAATCATGTGGATAAGCTGAAACCGAATCATTCTGATACACAAATCTGAATAAGTCACCACGTCATTCGAATCCAGGTAAAATTAGTCACTGCATTGAAATTGCAGAGAATATGATTTTGTTCAAGTAATGGCGAGAGCGCATTCAGTATCCACCAATTAGTCGGATTTACCGTTGCAGAAAATTGTTCAGAAAGACATACAATAAGGCTGAAGGTATGATTATTGAGATGGAATGATATAATGCTCTTGAGTCTTGAGTAAATTATGTTTATCACTGTAGAAAACTTCTCCCTACATAATGCGGACATTTTACAAAATGTCGGCAAGGATGTGAAAAATACACCAATATTAGAAATAATACAAGGAAATAATAATAAATGGCATAAGAAATAATCAAATAGAA